AAGGGTATGATGGGTTTACATCTTCTAAGTCTTTTTCATTCTAAAACAGGGACGTCGGTCATGACTTGTGAAGAACTCTGGCTCGTTTTCTGGTGGATTGCATTACGGTCTGGCCTTGTCTGATTGCTTCCTTGAGCCGTCAATTCCCTCGTGGCTGTCCTCCACGTATGATTGTGAGATAATAGAAAAAAATATATATATATGTATACACACACACATATATATGTGAGAGAGAGAGAGAGTCCACAGTAAACACGGGGCCCATGGTCCTTTTACCTCCTCTGACTGCTGCCACCCTGGTCCAGCTCTGTCACAGCCCTTGAGGGGTACTTTTAACTCTTTCCCCACTAAAATCCTTTCTTCACCCAGCAGCTAGAAATGAAATGTAAATAAAACTGTAGATGATTTGAAATCCTTTCAACATGTAAAGGAGCTTTTGGAAATGGAAATCAGATCGTGTCACTTCCCTGCCTAAAACCTTCCAAGGGCTCCCCCTTTGCTGATAGCAACACAACAACCCTGGCAACTGACCCTTACATGGCACTTGCTAATTAGGGGCTGGGTGCTGTTACAGGCACTTAACGTACAATAACTTATTTAATTCACACAACATCCTTATAAGGCAAATACTATTATTATCATCCCCATTTTACAGATGAGAAGACTGACACACAGAGAGGCTCAATAACTTGCTTGAGTTAACATGGATTAAAACTCAAACTCTCTAGCAAAGCCTGACACACTCCACTCCCAGGTCTTTGCGTGGCTCTGTCTTATCATTTGGGTCCTAGCACAAATGTCACCTTCCTAGAAAGGACTGCCCAGATCTTCCAGTTTGTAGAACCTCTCCACTCTCTATAACATCATCCTCTTGTTTTCACATCACTTCACATTTTATTCAATGATCTTGTCTATTATTTTGTTACATGCTCCTTTGTCTCTGTCCTGGCCCCATCCTCCCCCCTGGGTGTCAGCTCCTTAAGAGCAGGGACCACAACTCTTGTGTACCTGTGTATCCCAGTGCCTGGCACAGGTGGGTATCAGCTCAGTTAACACTTGCTAGAATCGAGGGAGGAAGGGAAGAAAGAAGGAATTAGGGCTGAGCTCCTTCAGTCTTCCCTCTCCCATGACTAGAATGAGGATGAGTCTTGGAGGAAAAATGGAGGACAGAGGAGAGCGTGGAAGAGAAACCCCAGAAAGGAACTCGAGGGCCTGGAACCCCTCAAGGTGCAGCCAGATCAGGCCCCACACTCAGCTAGGAGAATGTTTCCCCAATTAGGCTTGTCACATTTAGCACATAAAATGACACGATGCTCAGTTAAATTTGCATTTCAGGTACATGGTGAATAATTTTTCAGTATAAGTATGTCACATGTAATTTTTTGGATATATTCCAAAATTGTTTACTGTTTATCTGAAATGCAAGTTTACTGGGCATCCTGTATTTTACCTGGTGGCCCTATCCCTGATCCTTACTTTGTACTAGTGCGACAGGAGATTCTACTGAGCACTGGCTGCCTTTTTTGGTACAGAACATTTTGTTTTTCTTCCTGAATAAGGAAGTACAATCCCTTTATTGATCTAACAGAAGGAGAATGTCCGCTGAAACAGAAGCCTGTTAGAGGAGATTGGTTCCTGGGGGTGGATAAATATCACGGGGCGGGCAAGACGGATGCCTTGTCTTGAGCCCAAAGTGGCTTTCAGAACCTGCCTGCGCCCTTGCTTGGACCTTCCTTCCTGGGCCTGGAGGTGGACTTGAGTGAGTGCTGTTGAAGAGGGCAGGAAGGGGAAAGCAGGAGGAGAAGATTTATGGGAATGTGGGCTTGTTCTGGTGATTCACTCGTTCATTCAATTGTGCCAAGCAAAAACTCAGATGAATGGCACAAGGTCCTGCCCAGAGGCTCTCTAGAGATGGGGAGATGGATTTGGACCCCAGGACCAACAAGTGATGCCTGCTTAAAAATCGCTTTTCATAGTTGGATGAGAAGTGTCCATTTCTTTCCCTGTCTTCTCTCTCTCCCCTCCCTTCCCCATTCCTCCTCTCTTTCTCTCACCTCCCCTGCGCTTTGCCGCCTTAAACCTTGTAACCAACTAGTACTATAAAGGAACAATTACTGGAGCACTCAGGCCTAGGATCTGGTCTTGGTCTCATTTCCTTTGTCTTCCCAAGCCCACCCCACTCTCCCTACATCCAGAAATAGGCAACGCATCCAACACAACGTGGATGCAGTGCAGCCAAGTTAGCCTGGAGTTCATTTGCATGCTCTTTTCTGATTGGCTGATACAAACGTACTGCATCCCCTAACCTTCTGCCCCTCCCTGCCACTCCCCACCTCCCTGTTGTAGCCCCACTAGGCCAGGCATCCTGGGATCCTCAGACCTCTGGGCTTGTCTGCTCAATTATTCCTCGATAAAGTGTCAATGGGTGATTCCTTCTGGTTTGGGGTTAAAAAAAAAAATCTAGATTCAATCTGGACTTTGCCACTGACAAACTGTGATCTTGAATGAGTCCTTTTGCCTCTCTGAGACTCAGTTTCTACGTCTGTAAAATGAGAATAATTCTCATGATGCGGTCCTTATGAGAATATTCTGTAGTACTTAATATGGATGCTTATGCCAGACAGCCCAAGTCAAATCCTTCCTCTTCCACTGACTAGCAGAATGCTCTAAACCAGTAGTTACCTGTTTACTTCCCTTTCCTCATTTGGTTAGAGTGAGTCTGAAAAAAGTCAATATGCATGAAAACATCTAGAACAGTGCTTGGCATACAAGTGCCTGATAAATGTCAGCTGTTATTGTAATGGATATTAAAGTCCTTTATCCAAATGATGTTAATGTTATTATTGCCCAGTAAATCTTTGGGCACAGAGAAAAACTGATTGGGTACATGTCTGGCTCAGGGGCCAGGAGTTCCTTACTAGGAGAGCCCAAAGGAGTGAAGCCTTAATCTCTCTGAGCCTCAGTGTCTTCGTCTGCAAAATGGCAGTAACAGCCTCACTCTTGACTACTTCACAGGGAAGCTCTGGCTGGCTAATGGTAAGCACTTAAAATCTTTGTTGTTGTTGAACAAGTGAATGCACGGACCATGTGGGGCGGCAGCAGCAAGCTGCAGTGTTCTTCCCTGAGCAATATGACTGTGCTGACTTGCTGCACATGAGATCTGATGCAATGGAAGCCCAGCTCAGGCAGTGATGAGTGCTGAGTTGAGCAGACATGCTGGATGGTGTGCTCGTCAGTGCTTCACATTTGGGTAATGGGTATTCATACTCCATTGGTGAAAGTATAAATGTATTGGTACAGCCATTTTGGAAAATCACGTAGTGCTAGCTATCACAGTATTAAAAGAGCATATAAACTAACCCAGGAGCTCCATTAATAGAAAACCGTCCCCCAGGAATCTTGGCTCAAGTGTGCCAAGATTTCTGTAGATAGTGTGTTCACTGCAACCCTTTGCATTACTGAAAAACTGGAAACAATCTAAATGGTCCTCAGTATGGGAGTAGATAAGTAAATTGTGGTTTATCTATATTATGGATTATGTAGCTATTAAAAAGAATGAGGTAAAATGGTGGTTGCCGGGGGCTGTGGGAGGGGAAATGGGGAGATACTGTCTCATGGGTACATAGTTTCAGTTTTGCAAGATAAAAAACATTTTGTGCATGGATGCTAGAGATGGCTCCACAACAGTGTGACTGTAATTAAGCCTTAGAAATAGTTAAAATGGTAAATTTTATGTTATGTCTATTTTTTCACAATTAAAAATATTTTTTAAAAAGAAAAAAAAGAATGAGGTATATCTATATGTATTAACATTGTCAAGTAAAATAAATGCGCAACCTAAAAGTTGAAAGTTATGTTTTATTTGGTGGGAGGACTCTAGCCGGGATGACAGCCTCTCAGGTGGCTCTGAGGGACTGCTCCGAAGAGGTAGGGGAGGAGCTAGGATATATAGGAGCTTTACAACAAAGACCAGGTAGTTGGAACAATAAAAGATTACTTGTTATCTAAAGAGAATCAGGCATCTCAAGTTAAAGAATTTAGTGCTTTTCTATGTATGGGAGGAAGCAAACATTTGGGTTCACTGAATTCATTCCTTTGACAAGCACCTAGCTATCTAGGGCCAGTATCCTGTCCTTTCTTATTCTGAGTCTGCTCAGAGGGCACCATTCTGAGTGGCTTCAGAGGCTGGGGCTGCAGGCCTGTCCCCACTAGGGGGTGGCGACAGCCGCTGATGACTTGGTTTCAGCATTCTTTATTTACTGATATGTTTGCAGTATTTTCACTCACATTGGAGTATTTTCATTCACAACATGCAGAGGTCTCAGGATGTATGTAAGTAAACAAACAGAAAAACTCCTTTGACAGAGCTATGCATTTACTATAATTACATTTGTGGAAGAAAACTGTATCTATGTATCTTTACAGGAAATATCTGGAAGACTACACTCTAAAGCTAGGAAAAGGAATAACTTTAAAGTAAAATTTTTATTTGATAAAGGATCTCCTGTTTAAAGTCCAGAGGCTCTATTTGTAGTCTGGTCAAAAACACCGTGTGACTCAAGGAAACTCTCTTCACTTTTCTGAGCCGAAGCGTCCTCTTGTGTAAACTAATACAGATCATGTTCACCTCTCAGTGTTGTAATGGGGTGAAATGAAATAATGGATATGAAAACCCCTGCTAAGAGCAGGGACAGATCATTAATCAAGGAGGGCGGCCGAAAGGAGAAGGCATGACTGTAGACCCTGAAAGGTTTGGCAAGGCCTGGATTTGGTTTGACTTTAGGCTGTCTTTTTCTAACATGCAACAGGTACTTGTCTATCAAAGGTCTGGTACAGAACTGTATGTGGGCTTTTTTAGCACACACCTCCCGTAGCGAGAGGTGGAAGCCTGGCACGTGCGCAATGAGAGCATCTTTGGCTATGTTCCGCCCACATACTACAACTCCCGGCAGGCTTCGCGCACGCGTCAGGCGCGTCGCGGACTGCTGACGTGGCTCAGTAGCGCGGGGAATTTCGAGTGGCAGTGGAGCGCGGGAGACCAGTGGGTAGCGGACCCCCTTGCCTCCTTAGGGGAGACCATGGACTCCCTAGTTGAGCACCGGTGGCCTCCGGGCCTGGCAGTCATGAAGGTGAGTGTTTCAGGGAGGTTGGGGGCGTCTGGGCGTCTGGGCGTCCGCGGGAGGCGAGCCCCGCCTTGAGGAGGAGAAAGGACGCGGCGCCAGCGGCGAACTGGGCCAGGGTACCCGGCTCTGGTCTGACACTTGCTGACCGCGTGGCTCTGGGCCTCAGTTTCCCACCTTTGGAAGTGTCAGAGGCAGGCCTCGGTCCCTTAAGGTGAGCCGAGGCTGGTCGTCGTATAGAAAGGGGTATTGTGCCGTTCAGCTACAATGCCAATAGTCTGGAGAGAAACAGTTATCTAAACCATGGAAACGACAGTGACAACGAATCCTTTCTTAAGGCTTACTACGTGCCAAGCATTATGCAGATTCTCCCAGTACTGCTCCCAGAAGTAGCTCTGTTTGGAGTTCTTTCTTATATTGAATAAAAATCAGACTCCGGAAAGAGTTTGGTACCTGGAATTATTGATACTTTTTTTTTTTTTTGAGAAGAGAATCTATAGTCTTCATTTATTTTTCAAAGGGATCTGTGACCCCAAAATCTTAAGAACATTTGCTCCAGTTATTCAGTCTTTCACCTGTTCTCTACTTTCCCCTTCCACTTTCTCTAAGTTAAGAAAATCCTGGGGCATCCACTGGATTGGAAATTTGCACAAGAATGTTACAGCTCGTTGGATGCAGTGTCACGTTCCACAGATATTGCTCAGCAGATCTGTCAGGTCCGCTCCTCCCCCAGGAGAGGATGGTTACACGGAAGAAAACAAATAGACAAGGTGCCAGGGCTTGGCTCCCGGTCCTGACTCTGCTCTTAATCTATTTTCAACACAGTCCTCTAGCTTTTTGTGTCAATGGTAGCTTACCATCCCAAATAATGGAAGACTTGGGCATTTTAATGTATATTTTCCTGGCTTCACTGTAACAAAAGTTTCTATTTTTGACAGATTATAAATGTAGTATGTGTATATAGTCGAAGAAAATTAAAATTTACAGTAAGATAAAGGAGACAATGAAAGTTACCTAGCATCCTACCATCCATAGAGAACTACTGTTGAATGTTTTCTCTTACTGTTCTTCAGTTTTTCCCGTGTGTGCTAACCCACACCCACAATGTGTATACGCGTATAAATTTTGGGATTACTTTGGAGTCAACCTCTTGTGTTTGATCCAACCACTTTTAAGTTCTACAGGCTTCATCTATAAAATTGGCATATGATGCTGTAGACCTAAGATTGTTAAGGAGATTAAACTACGTAATTCTATTATGTATTATTTTTGTAGATTTGTTCTCTGATTTTTTTTAAAGTTTCCATTAAAACATGAACATTTTCCCATATATTAAAAGTTCTTTGAAAGCATTTTTTTTAATGGAAACAGTATTTTATCATATGGACTATTACAGACATTAGTCTTTTTGTTTATATTTTTAGAATTTAGGTCATACGCTGAGTTGGTTCAAAAAGCATGTGAAATAAAGAGTGAAAGTCTCCTTCCCAGCTTGTCCCTCAATTATCCCGTTTCCTGACCCCTTTGACTACGATTTGTTATGTTCTTGTGTTCAGATTTACCTTCAGATTTATACATTTGTGTATACACACAAGATAAAAATAGAATATATTCTTATTTCCTCCTCCCTTTTAAACAGAAGGTCGCAGACCGTTATGTTCTGTCTGTATTTTACTTTTTTCACTTATTTTGGCAGTCTTTGCATATTAGTACATGAGTGAGTACCCTCTTTTCTTTCTCTTAAATATCTACTCAGTATTCCTTGAGTGAAATAACATTTTATTTTAAATGATTTAGAATGTTTTAGATTGCGAGGTAGATCCTTTCCTGTGTGGGTTCCATTCCAGATTTATGCACAGCTGTTTGGCTTTCCAGATTGCCCACTTCTTCCCCTCCCTCTGCTGTCTCAGGTGCCAGCTCTTTCCAGGGCTTCCTCATCTGGCTCAACCCTGTACTAACGTGCAGTACCCTGCAGAAAGCACTGGACTGACCGCCAGTAGGGAGACAGGCAGCTTAGTCCTGGCTGGACTCATGACCATTACATGTGCCTGCTCTAGATAAAAGTTTCCTCATGTGTGAAGTCAGAATTTTAACTAGATAATTTCTGATGTTTGTCTTTAGTATTCTCTGATTTGGTTCTTAACCTTTGTGGTGAATGGCTGCTGGTACCTCTCACCCAGCAGTGATTGTAGGCCTGGGAATGGGGTCTAAGAGGAAGCTCGGAGGAGGACTGGAAGCACATGGCAGGTAGAACAGGAATAGAGTATCCTTTCTGTGAAGGGCTGGCAGTGAGGAATGGGAATCTGTACAGTGTCAGCTTTATCTGTCTAAAGTGTTCTGGGTAACCTAAGATTTAAATAAATCATATGGGGGAAGTTTTTCTCTCCTCTGCAGTTTATGTGGACTTAGCTTTTGCGTTTGCATATTTGACAAAGAAATATTATTAAATTATTATTTTTTAGGGGATGGAAGGAGAAAGAGTGGCATTCTGTGGCAGATGTTCCCATCTTGGTGGCTTTCTGATAGATATATATGTATTTTTGCATTTCAGACAGTAGATGATTTGCTGCGGTGTGGAATTTGCTTTGAATATTTCAACATTGCAATGATGATTCCTCAGTGTTCACATAACTGTAAGTATGTATTGCAACTAAGAGTTAGAAAAATGTGATTTTTACACAATGTAGTGTTAATTTAACACCAAAGATGGGTACACATTATTAATTTCTCACCTTTAGCTCTTCTGTCTTGAAGTTTTCAGATGGTCTTTCTCACAACCTCCCTCCTGAATATGAAATATTTTTTCACAGGGTTCATGTATTTCCTACCACCTCCCTCTTGGGTATTTTTATGCCTTTTATGGGAATAAAGATTTTGCTCACTATATATGCTTTTGCCCAGCACTTTTAGATGTTAGACTTCAGAATTTTTGATTTTAACGGTAACAGATAGGTGGTTCAACCGGGCAGTCTTTGGCGTTGTCCAGGTAGTATTTAGTGCATAGGGTGCACTTGTTTTGTTTAGGATCTGGTCTTCCAGTTAACGGATTATCTAGGTTTGTGATCTTTGTTGTTTTCTATTTTTGAGTTGGTTTGTCTTGGAAAGTTTAAAAAGTTAAGCCTTAAAGATGGTTTTAGTGGATAGTAGTAGCTTTGGTGAAAACAGTTTCCAAGGAGAAGACATAATAAGAGGATGGTGGTGGTAGCAACATGGGTGTTAGAGATATACTTGGGCTTGACTCTCAACTCCCCACTTACTAGGTGGATAAGGTTGCAAATGCCCAACATTCCTTCAAATGTGAAAAGTCTAATAAGTAGTTGCTGCCTTAGACGATGTTTGTTAGAATTAAATGTGCAGAGTCCAGTGTCTGGCACGTTATAAGCTCTTAATGTTAGTTTCCCTCTAGGCTACATTCATATTAACCAAGATAAGTTTTGGGAATTATTTCTAAATATGTGTTAAAGTCATCTTTATTTAGGTATAATTTACATATAATAAGATGCAGCCATTTTAAGTGTGCAGTAAAGTGTACAAGTGTCAGTGAGTTTTGACAAATGTGTATATCATGTAACCACTGCAAGTAAGATATTGACCATTTGTGTCACCTGGTAGAGTTCTCCCCATCTCAGTCAGTATGGCCCCAGGGAGTTATATGTGGGTCTGTTTCTGGATTCTTTTCTATTCTATTGATCTATATGTCTACCCTTGTGCCAGTACCACACTATCATTTTTAAAAAATATTTTATTTATTTATTATTGTATTATTTAATTATTTTATTTTGTAGGGGGGGTAATTAGGTTTATTTTGGACCTCATGCATGCTAAGCACGCGCTCTACCACTTGAGCTGTACCCTCCTCTGCCACACACTATCTTAATTACTGTAGCCTTTTGGGAAATCTTGAAGTCAAGCATTGTAACTACTCCAATTTTGTTTTTCTTTATCAAAGTTATTTTGGTTCTTTTAGGATTTCTGCATTTTATATGCATTTCCATATACATTTTAGAATCAGATTGTCAATTTTGACAAAAAAAAAGGACTGCTGAAATATTCATTGGGATTGCACTGAATCTAGAGATCAGTCTGAGGATAAGTGACGTCTTAACAGTGTTATCTTCAATATAAGAATATTGTCCTAAATTAGAAATAAATCCCAGAAAAGAGGCTTATCTTAAAGCAAAAAAACAGCTTTATTGTTTGTTGCAAACTGGGAATACACAGCCTTTGGCTGTAACCTAAAGTACCTTTGGGGCAGAGGGCGAAGCAAGTGAGGGAGTTTTAAAAACACAAACCTCAGAAGTCACAGTTGGAAGATTTGCAGAGGGGATTGGATGGCCCTAGCAGCCATCCACAAGTCCTTGCAGCTTGATATGAGGCTGTCATTAGAGCTTTGCTTTGAGGGCTTTTCCAGGTAGGACCCTTAGTAGCATCAGATGTCATTTAGTTTTCTGATCCTGGTTTTTCTGAGAACACAGACGTGACTGGAACCCCAGGTCTGTCATGACTGCCTGAATCTGTTTTATTTTGAGTCCCTGTTAGACACAATGGGCCCATTTCTCTGTTCCTAACACAGGAGATTCTTCTTATTTTTACTTTCCCTGAGGAGATTTTATTTTATTTTTACAGAACTGTGGTGTGTGCCTCCATTCTTCAGCTTTTCTTTAGTTTCTCTCCACAGCATTGTTAGTTTTCAGTGCACAGGCCTTGCACACAGAAATACAGTTTTTTGTATTGAATTTTTATCTTGTGATCTTGCTAAGCTCACTGTGTAATTCTGGCTTATTTTTTTACGTACATAGTCATGTCCTCTGCGAATAAGACAGTTTTGCTTCCTCCTTTCTAATCTGCATGCCTCTTATTTCTAGTTGTTAGACAGGCTATCACCTTTAGTAGAATGTTAAAAAGAAGTAGTGTAGGTGGATATCCTTTTTTTATTCCTAATTTCTTGGGGAAGCCATTCAGCATTTCAAGTATGATGTTGGCTATAATTCTTATCATATTCTTGAAACATTTTCATAAATTTATCAGTTTGAGGCAGTTCCTCTATGCTCTTAATAGCAGAAAGGTTTGTTTTAAAAATCGTGAATGAGTATTGAATTTTGTTAGGTTTGTTTTTTGCATCTCTGGAGATGCTCACATGATTTACTTCCTTTATTTTATAATTTGGTTAATTACACTAATTTTTTTTTAATTGAGGTACAGTCAATTATAATGTATTGATTTCTAGTATACAGCACAATGTCTCAATCTTGCATATACATACATATATTCATTTTCATTTTTTTTTCATTAAAGGATATTACAAGATACTGAGCATAGTTCCCTATGCTATACAAAAGAAACTTTTTTTAATGTATTTATATATATAGTGGCTAACATTTATAAATATCAAACTCCCAAATTTATCCCCTCCCACCCCCTTTTCCCAGTAACCATTAAATTGTTTACTAAGTCTGAGAGTCTTTCTGTTTCGTAGGTGAGTTCATAGTGGCCTTTCTTTTTGTTTTTTGTGTTTTTTTTTAGATTTCACATGTGAATTGTATCATATGGTATTTTTCTTTCTCTTTCTGCCTTCACTTAGAATGACAGTCTCTAGATCCATCCATGTTGTAGCAAATGGCATTATTTTATTCTTTTTTATGGCAGAGTAGTATTCCACTATATAAATATACTACAACTTCTTTATCCAGTCATCTGTTGATGGACATTTAGGTTGCTTCCATGTCTTGGCTATTGTATATAGTGCTGCTATGAACACTGTGGGGTACATGTGTCTTTTCACATTAAAGTTCCCTCTGGATATATACCCAGAAGTGGGATTGCTGGATCATATGGCAAGTTTATTTTCAGTTTTTTGAGGAATCTCCATACTGTTTTCCATAATGGTTGCACCAGACTACATTCCCACCAGCAGTGTAGGAGGGTTTCCTTTTCTTCACAGCCTCTCCAGCATTTATCGTTTGTGAACATTTGAATGATGGCCATTCTAACTGGTGTGAGGTGATACCTCATTGTAGTTTTGATTTGCATTTCTCTGAGAATTAGCGATATTGAGCATTTTTTCATGTCTATTGGCCATTCATATGTCTTCATTGGAGAAATGCTTGTTTAGGTCTTCTGCCCATTTTTTGATTGGATTGTTAGTTTTTTTTGTTATTAAGTTGTATGAGCTGTTTATGTATTCTGGAAATTAAGCCATTGTCAGTCGTATCATTTGCAAATATTTTCTCCCCATTCCGTAGGTTGTCATTTTGTTTTGCTTATGGTTTCCTTTGCTGTGCAAAAGCTTATGAGTTTAACTAGGTCCCATTTTGTTTATTTTGCTCTTACTTCCTTTGCCTGGGTAGACTGCTCTAGGAGAACGTTGCCAAGATTTATGTTAGAGAATGTTTTGCCTATGTTTTCTTCTAAGAGATTTATCATGTCTTGTCTTATATTTAAGTCTTTAAACCATTTTGAGTTCATTTTTGTGTATGGAGTGAGGGAATGTTCTAACTTCATTGACTTACTTGCTGTTTTCCAGTTTTCACACCACCATTTGTTGAAGAGACTGTCTTTTCTCCATTGTATAATCTTGCCTCCTTTGTCAGAGATTAATTGACCATAGGTCTGTGGATTTATTTCTGGGTCTCTGTTCTGTTCCATTGATCCACATGTCTTTTTTGATGCCAGTACCATGCTGTTTTGATTACTGTCGCTCTGTAATATTGTCTGAAGTCTAGGAGGGTTATTCCTCCAGCTTCGTTCTTTTTCTTCAACAATGCTTTGGCAAGTCTGGCTCTTCTGTGATTCCATATAAATCCTGGGATCGGTTGTTCCAGGTCTGTAAAAAATGTCCTGGGTGATTTGATAGGGATCACATTAAATCTGTAGATTGCCTTGGGCAATAAGGCCATTTTAACGATATTGATTCTTCCAATCCAAGAGCATGGGATATCTTTCCATTTCTTTAAGTCTTTTTTAATTTCCTTAATCAGTGTTTTGTAGTTCTCCGTATATAAGTCTTTCACCTCTTCGGTCAGATTTATTCCTAAGTGTTTTATTGTTTTGGGTGCAGTTTTAAAAGGGATTGTTTCTTTACTTTCTTTTTCTGTTGATTCATTATTAATGTAAAGAAATGCAACTGATTTTTGTATGTTTATCTTGTATCCTGCTACCTTGCTGAATTATTTTATTAGCTCTAGTAGTCTTTGTGTGGCGCTTTTAAGGTTTTCTATATATATAGTATCATGTCATCTATATATAGTGACACTTTACCTCTTCTTTTCCGATTTGGATCCCTTGTATTTCTTTTTGTTGCCTGATTGCTCTGGTTAGGACTTCCAGGACTGTGCTGAATAGAAGTGGTGAGAATGGGCAGTCTTGTCTTGTCCCAGATTTTAGTGGGAAGGTTTTCAATTTTTCACCCTTGAGTACTATGCTTGCTGTAGGTTTGTCATAAATAACTTTTATTATGTTGAGATATGTTCCCTCTATACCCACTTTGGTGAGAGTGTTTTATCATAAATAGGTGTTGAATTTTATCAAATGCTTTTTCTGCATCTATTGAGATGATCATGTGGTTTTTGTCCTTTCTTTCGTGGATGTGGTGTATCACATGGATTGATTTGTGTGTGTTGAACCATCCTTGTGT